CCCACTAGAGGACTTTGGGCCCTCAGACCACCCTCATGAAGTCTGTTTCTGATTGTTTGGTCAGAGACGTTCACATCAGTGGCCTGCTGGAGGTCATTGTGTAGGGCTCTGGCAGTGCTCATCCTGTTCCTCTTTGCACAAAGGAGCAGATACCAGTCCTGCTGCTATCACCTTCTATGGCCCTGTCCGGCTCTCCTAGAGTAACTGGTTTTTTTAAACGGAATAAAGTGAGCACTCTTATGTAAATGCAGCGGCTGGAATGCTTAAGGTAACCAAAAAATACCTCTGAGTAAAATAACAACGTAAATAGCAAAAGTCCAGCGCTAAAGAAATTAAACTGAAAACAGTAAGAAGTCAGTGTAATAATATCAGTAGTTTTCTTTAAAGGGATGCAAACTTCCAAAGCTCTTGCGGCCTCAAATAATAGCAATGCGCACTCACCAGAAACGCATGGGTTATGCGCATGTAGGAATAATCATTCCAGATGTCAGATCCTTCAAAGATCAGATGGCGGGCATCCCTCTCACGGTGGATCACCGAAGACTCCAAATTGGATCCTGAGGTTCCCTTAAGGTCAATCAGGCACTCCACACTGATAGTGATACTCTCTCCTCTGAATGGTACAGGCACCTTCTCTGTGGGGGTAACAGCTCCACACAGGAACCCCAGAAAAACAGGTGCCAGAGATAGTGTAGTATGTTTTAGAACAAAAATGTATTGTCACAGTAAAAAATACAGGGCAGCATGCAGATCCAGACCCATATAAAGGTTACAAATGGAAAAAAGCAGTACTGACCCTAATAAAGATGTCCGCCGAGCCTCCTCGTGGCTCCGGCGGTTTGAATGATGTCACGCTCTGCACAGCTCCTCCTTAGGCCTTTCGTGCTATAGGCACATCATCAGAGGGGAGGCTGTACAGAGGCGTGACTGACGCCAGTAATACTTATAGGGGAAGACGGCGCGTGCGCAGTTAGCCGCGGCCATCTTCCCGAAGAGAGGGCACTGCGCATGCGTGTGCACGGCGGCGCCATTTTGCCGTGGATCCGCGATATCTCCTAGAGTAACTGCCTGTCTCCTGGAATCTCCTCCATGCTCTTGAGACTGTGCTGGGAGACACAGCAAACCTTCTGGCAATGACACGTATTGATGTGTCATCCTCTGTAGGGTCCAGGTATCGCCTCATGCTACCAGTAGTGACACTGACCCTAGCCAAATGCAAAACTAGTGAAAAACAGACAGAAAAGATGAGTAGGGAAAAAAATGTCAATGGTCTCCACCTGTAAAACCATTCCTGTTTTGGGGGTCGTCTCATTGTTGCCCATCTAGTGCACCTGTTGTTAATTTCATTAACACCAAAGCAGCTGAAACTGATTAACAACCCCCTCTGCTACTTAACTGACCAGATCAATATCCCAGGAGTTTAATTGGCTTGATGCTATACTCTGATTAAAAAGTGTTACTTTAATTTTTTTGAGCAGTGTAGATGTGCGGCTATACTCTATTTAGTAAATTGTTGATATCAGGAACACAGTAGTTATGGGTCTGATCCAAATGAAAAGTATGATGATGTCAGTATAGTACATGGTGTAATTGTACATACAGCAGCATGATATCATTTTCCACATGCAATAACTTAATCAGCTGTCAGTGGCAACAATGTTTTTCAGTTTGCCGTGCCTGTACCCTCAGTTTGCATGAGGCATGTGAAGACCTGATAGGCAGCCAACCAACTATAACAGTGTGCATGGCAGGCTGACAATACTACTGCTAACTGAAAAGCAGTAACTTCGCTTTGTTAGCCTGGAACAGGAAGTATGTTTATTGCCAGGATTGTGAGGTAAGAAACTCTGCCACACATCTAAAAAATATTTGCTTAAGAAAACTGTATATAGTAAGGCAAGATGCCAAATAGAAATTTTGGGTTTACATACTCTTTAAAAAAATGCTAGGTTATATATTAAGTTGGAATGTAGAATATATTGCGATGAATCACTTCATACTTTTGAAGTTTCATTGGAAAACTTTTTTGGATGAAATCGGAAAATGGCTGTCTGATATCTGCTAAACAATTTACAAATAGCAGCTGGCTTGTGATCAGATGTCTATATTCCTGTCTAGTGCTGAGCCATTCAGTTTGCATTTGTTTGCTGAAGTTTACTGAAGTTCTGATGCTGAATCTAAACCCTATTGAAATCAAGGAGGCCAAATCTTAGAAACTAGTAATGGCCATTTTTTAGGCTAATAGGCAAGAGATTCTCAAACAGACAGCATGGATAGCTGGGCACTGCCCTGGGGGACATGTCCCAGTGCTACTTTTGTTTTAAAATTCCATTTGGTAGATAAATATTAAAAATGCCAAATGAATTCTAATAAAATGCTTGGAGAGGGGAAGAGGTGATCTTAACCTGTCTTTGGGTGTGCACACTTGTACGATACATACAACCTACTGCAGCTTCTGCTTGTAAAAACTGTACGGGGTTTCCTCTTCATCTATATCAGATCCTTATTCTGCATGGGGGTCTGGTATAGATGTTAATGCTGTATCCGACGCAAAGAAAAACCCAGCATGGGGTTCCTCCTAAAAATACATGCCAGACCCTTTTCTTTGAGCGTCTGGTATGAATGTCAAGGTGGATGCCGCACAAAAAAAATTATGTGAGATCCCCTTAAAGTTTTACTAAATCCACAAATCAGTCTGTATATGCAATAAAGCATGCTTGTTATATTTACTGTGGAACCTAATGGGCTAATCCTCTGCATTGTGTAAAAAGGCTGTTTGATCCTGTCTTCTCTGATCCTCCCCTTCTTCTACTGTCCCCAATCCATCTGTTGATAGTACAGACCTCTAAGAGTCACTCTGCACATGCTCAAGTTTAGTGTGCATCGCTAGAGAGTTTTTTTTCTATGGGAAGGTGCATGTGATCAGCACAGAGCCAATCAGAACTTTCCGGTCAGGGATTATGCAGCCTCATAGGTCAGTCAGAGCAGAATGAAAACTCCTCTTACAAGTTTTAACCAGTTCTCAGCCAGACACTGATAGAAGTCACAAGACTGCTATACTGTATACTACTGATGAGAAAAGGTATTTAGTAGTTTATATTTACTAAAATATTTGCATTTCCATGTTCTGTGTACTGTGGGATCAAATATAGTGAATGCAGGGTCCTGGGTTTAGTAACACTTTCAATTCTATGACAGATTGGTATGGAAAATGGGGGGGACCCCATACCTTTTTGTTGTTGTTGTTTTTTTCTTTTTTTGTGACGAGTTCCCCTTGACATCCAGAACTTCATCAAGATCTATAAAGGACTGATGGGCCTTTTTTAAATCACAGTGAATGTAGGTGGGCTTATACTCCACTATCAAGCAATTCTCAATGTATCAGTGGCAATATACATCAATGAATATAGTACAGTATATAACTCTGTAGCAGTACACTACACTAGCAAACTCTTGCTCCCTAAAAGCTCTGGAAGCTGTTCCTCACTCTTTTTAAAGGATAAGTTCACCTTTTAAAATGTGCATTTAATATTTTTTGTTCCTGGAGCCTCTAAAGCATTGCAACAGCGATCAGCAGACCGTGCTGGTGCCATGCAGATCTCCTGCAGACCTGTCAGTGTATCTGCTTGCCCGCAAAGGCTGTCGGGACTTGTAGTTAATTCATTCACAGAACACCGTGTCACAATGGGGAGCTGGGTGGAGCGGGGACTAGTCTGTTGGTAACATGCTACATGTTGCACCCTGAATATGGGTGTAAAATGTAACGTGGTACAAAAGGTGAACATATCCTTTAAATTCCAACATGTCGACAAAGGACCTTTGGGAAAGCAGTTGCCCGTTCACATATATGAATATTTGAGCCGCATCCAATCCGCATGACATATGAAGTAACATTGCTTCCTATGGTGCCTGTTCACATATGTCCGGTGCAATTCTGGTGTGGATTTAGTGTGGTTTAAAAAAGTGTCATGTACGATTTCTGAGCAGTGCGGTCCGGTTCAGGTGCGGATTACAGCTATTGACTTCTATGGGAACCGTTCCTAAACCTGACATGTGTGAACAGGACCCCAGAGATCATCCCTATTCCTGTCCAACTAGTTGCCTTGTTTATTCTGTGTGTAGCATGCTTCACTTTTCTTAGAATCACTTCATCGATCCAATTAAGTCACTGCCGTTTGAACTCTGTTTAATTCAGCAAATTTAAGTAGATGAAATTACCCATAAATAGAGAATTAGACATTGTTATAATTTAAAATTAAAAAAAGGAAAAATCATCAAGCTACTAAAGTGTATACTTGGCCCATGGGTCTTTTGCAAGTCAAGTACACCTGGCACACGGGTCAGCAGACAGTCAATTGCCTCTTGAACTTCCCTAGCAATGGCTATAAAGCAAGAGAATGTTCTTTGCTATTTATTTGTACACTAATAATTTCTAGCAGAGAATCGGGCTATTTTGTGCAAACTATCTGGCAAATGATTTTCCTTGACACAGTTTCCTGAACACTGCAGTTTTTAGCAAAACATCTGCATTGAAATGAAATGAGAATCAATTTGCAAATGTTCTTAATGATTTAACGACTTTGGTAAAACGAATGATAGGTGATTTGTTTTCTGATAGAGTTGCAGTCGCACTACCTCAAGTATTTTCTGATTAAATAAAAAAAGTGTCTTGTTTCAGATACTTTGTCATACTAACGCAGAGGCTGGAGATTATTTGGAACATTTTTAGGGTGATTTATGCAATATAAAGATAAAGGATGGCAGTGTGAAAAGTTTGTTTGCTTTCTTTTCCATCCATTTATAAAGTGTATATGTGTATATATATATATATATATATATATATATATATATATATATATACCGTATTTTTCGCTCCATAAGACCCAACTGACCATAAGACGCACCTAGGTTTTAGAGGCGGAAAACTAGAAAAAAAATATTCTGAACCAATGGACTGCGGACATAGTACAGGAAATGACAAGAGACTGCAGACATAGTACAGGAGATGACCAGAGACTGCGGACATAGTACAGGAAATGACCAGAGACTGCAGACATAGTACAGGAGATGACCAGAGACTGCAGACATAGTACAGGAGATGACCAGAGACTGCAGACATAGTACAGGAGATGACCAGAGACTGCAGACATAGTACAGGAGATGACCAGAGACTGCAGACATACTACAGGAGATGACCAGAGACTGCGGACACAGTACAGGAGATGGACCAGAGACTGCAGACATAGTACAGGAGATGACCAGAGACTGCGGACACAGTACAGGAGATGACCAGAGACTGCAGACACAGTACAGGGGATGACCAGAGACAGCGGACAGTACAGGAGATGACCAGAGACTGCGGACACAGTACAGGAGATGACCAGAGACAGCGGACAGTACAGGAGATGACCAGAGACTGCGGACACAGTACAGGAGATGACCAGAGACAGCGGACAGTACAGGAGATGACCAGAGCTTGCGGACATAGCACAGGGGATGATCAGAGACTGTGGACACAGTACAGGGGATGACCAGAGACTGCGGACACAGTACAGGGGACGACCAGAGACTGCGGACATACTACATCATTTAAAGTCCCAACAGGGCCCCTCCACCCAGATTATCAAATGATCTGACACCATACATCAAGGAAAAGGACTACAACTCCCAGTATCTGTCATTTTTAACTTACAGAAGGCAGGCTATAGAAGGCAGGGGGCACACTAAGCTCCGAGGACAGGCCACACCAGCAGATAGGACTGGACTGCAGAGCAGGGATCGCACTATGGACACATGCCAGGAGCGGGGAGGAGCTGTAAGGACAGGCACACCTGCAGACCGGACTGGACTGCAGAGCAGGGAGCGCAGTACATAGACATGCCAGGAGCGGGAAGGAGCTCCGAAGACAGGCCACGCCTGCAGGGCGGACCGGACTGCAGAGCAAGCTGGCTGGGTTCGGCGAGGGGACTGCCTGCTATGAAGAGCTACAGGGACAGCCCGCTGAGAGAGGGGATAAGGTAGGGTGAACTTCGGTGACAGCCTGCAGTGGGATGGGACAGCCGCTGGCCCTAACACGGCGGCGGTGACAGGTGGAGGACTGGTCAGTATTCGCCCCATAAGACGCACAGACATTTTCCCCCATATTTTTTGGGGAAAAAAGTGCGTCTTATGGATACGGTAAAAATACGGTATATATATATATATATATATATATATATATATATACACTGCTCAAAAAAATTAAAGGAACACTTTTCAATCAGAGTATAGCATCCAGTATTAAGCTCCTGGGATGTTGATCTGGTCAGTTAGCTAGCAGAGGGGGTTGTTAATCAGTTTCAGTTGCTTTGTTGTTAATTATATTAACAGCAGGTGCACTAGATTGACAACAATAAGATGACACCCAAAACAGGAATGGTTTTACACGTGGAGGCCACTGACAATTTTTTCCCTACTCATCTTTTCTGACTGGTTTTCACTAGTTTTACATTTGGCTAGGGTCAATGTCATAACTGGTAGCATGAGGCAATACCTGGACCCACAGAGGATGCACAGGCAGTCCAATTCCTCGAGGATAGTATTTGCTCCTTTGTGCAAGGAGGAACAGAATGAGCACTGGCAGAGCCCTACAAAATGACCTCCAGTAGGCCATTGGTGTGAATGTCTCTGACCAGACAATCAGAAACAGACTTCATGAGGATGACCCGAGGGCCCGACATCCTTTAGTGGGTCCTGTGCTCACATAAAGCTGGATTGGCATTTGCCATTGAACACCAGAATTGGCAAGTCTGTGCTTTTCACAGATGAGAGCAGGTTCACCCTGAGCACATGTGACAGATGTGAAAGGGTCTGGAGAAGCCATGAAGAACATTATGCTGCCAGTAACACCATTCAGCATGACCGTTTTGGTGGTGGGTCAGTGATGGTCTGGGGAGGCATATCCATGGAGGGGCACACACACCTCTACAGGCTAGATAATGGCACCCTGACTGCCATTAGGTATCGGGATGAAATCCTTGGACCCATTGTCAGACCCTACACTGGTGCAGTGGGTCCTGGGTTCCTCCTGGTGCATCACAATGCCCGACCTCATGTGGCGAGAGTATGCAGGCAGGTCCTGGAGGATGAAGATATTGATACCATTGAATGGCCACCACGCTCGCCTGACCTAAATCCAATAGAACCTCTCTGGGATATCATGTTTTGGTCCACCCAACACCGCCAGGTTGCACCTCAGACAGTGGCGACCCGAGGCAGGTGTGGGGGGTGCCGTCCGCACCGGGTGACACCAACCACACGGGTTGACACTGGACCTGCACCACAAAAAGGCAAGTTGTAAAGCAAGCTGACAATCTCCGCAGGATGGATCGGATTTCGGCTTTCTTTACAACTTAGCTTTTCTTGGAGAGGGTCCGGTGTCACCCCGTATGGGTTGCATGCCGACGATCCTGTGGGGATCGTCGGCATGCAACCTATACGGTGTGACACGGGTGTAGTGGCAAGATGTGTCTCCCATGTAGATGTCCCCCCTGAAGCAACTGCGCATGTCCCTGTTTCAGGCACGATCAATCGATGATAGAACTACTGCTATCATCGATTGATCGTTCCTGAAACTGGGACATGCGCAGTTGCTTCAGGGGGGACATATCTACATGGGAGACACATCTTGCCGCTAAACCCGGACCCGCTCCAAGAAAAGGTAATTTGTAAAGAAAGCCGGCTATCCCCGCAGGATGGATCGGATCTGCGGATTGAGCATAATGGATCGGAGTCCAAGTGTTACTTCATCGGGTGACACCAACCCTAGGGACACCTCTGACCTCAGACTGGCCTGTCCAGGAGTTCAGTGATGCCCTGGTCCAGATTTGGGAGGATTAACTACAGGACACCATCCGTCGTCTCATTAGGAGCATGCCCCGACATTGTCAGGCATGCATACAAGCACGTGGGGGCCATACAAACTACTGAGTACCATTTTGTGTTGCTGCAATGAAATTTCAGCAAAATGGACTAGCCCGCTGCATAATTTTATCACTTTGATTTTCGGGATGTCTTTGATTTCAGTCCTCTGTAGATTGATAAATTTTTATTTCCATCAATCAAACGATGGGACATCCTGATTACAAAAAATAGTGCAGCGCTAGCAACCTATACTAAAACACAAATTATATAAATGAAAATTTCACACATAGAATGCACAGTAAATGATGTCACAATATCTGGTGTTAAGTGCTCATAGAATAAATACTATGTGCAACAGTCCATAAATACAAATGATGGTGAGAAATCACAGCAAACTCCGTGAGGTGATCACAGTGCCACTCAGTGTGCAGTTAATCCACAGATGGCCAAGATGGCCCCTCGCCTCCTTAATGCGACCCAATGGGCCAAACAGCTATATAGGTGAACTTATACACCAAATAAGGTATCATCAAAGGATGGAACGCTTGGATAGATCACTCCAATATCTTCTCCTATCTCCTAGGTACTCGATTCCACAGGGCAATTCTGGTGTTCAATGTTAAATGGCAATTGAGCTCTATGGTGTATGGGACATCCTTATGTTCCTGACACATTACCCAGTCCATATCAGTATAGATATCCAGCATGCTATTTTCCCCATTGAGATCTGATGTGTTTTCAAAGTATTCCTTCAATTTTTTTGAGTAGTGTATATATATATATATATATATATATATATATATATACACATATATACTGTATATATATACAGTGCTCAGCATGAATGAGTACACATCTTTTGAAAAGTAAGATTTTAATCCATATCTCGATGAACACAAGAACAATTTCCAAAAGTTTGACAAAACTTGAGTTTTATAGAACTGTTGTTTAGCTCATTACATGAAAGTGAGGTTAATAATATAACTTAGATTACAAAATCATCAGTTTGACTCAAATGAGTTGATGCAAAAATTAGTAAACCCTATAACAAAAACTAATTCATCTAGTATTTTGTGTGACCTCCAAGATTTGTAAGGACAGCACCAAGTCTTCTAGGTATGAAATGAACAAGTTGGCAACATATTGCAACACCTATCTTTTTCCACTCTTCAAGGACAACCTCTTTTAGAGCCTGGATGTTGGATGGAGAGTGATGCTCAACTTCAGAAATCACCATAGATGTTTCATTGGGTTCAGACCAGGACACATACTTGGCCACTGAATCACTTTCACCCTGTTCTTCTTAAGAAATGCAACAGTGGCCTTAGACATGTGTCATGTTGGAAAAGTGCATCACGACCAAGGGCACGGAGTGATGGTAGCTTCTCTTTTAATATAGAGCAGTACATCTGTGAATTCATGATACCATCAATGAAATGCAGCCCCACAGAAGGACACTGCCACCACCATGTTTCACTGTAGGCACTATGCATTTTTCTTTGTACTCCTCACCTTTGCAACGCCATACAGTTTTGAAGCCATCCGTTCCAAAAACATTTATCTTGGTCTCATCACTCCAAGAGTCCCAGTAGTCTTCTTTTTCAGCATGGGTCCTGGAAAATTCTAGGTGGGCTCTTTGTGCATGGGCTTTATGGCACAGGCAGAATTTGTTTTTCAATAAATAATGGCTTCACTGCGCATCTATTAAAGGGCAACTCCTTTACATGTGTGTCTGGAAAAACGTGCAATTTTGCACGCATTCCCAACACTCACAGAGTGTAAAAGGAGCTTTAGATTTCCTTCCTGTTCCTGTTCTGGTGACAACTTTTAAACATTTTCCCTCATTTTTAGTCCAGGTAACAGTTGTCCCAGAAAAACAGGGACACAGACAGTGACAAAAACCTAAAAGGGGTTCTAACCCAACGCCACTCTATTGTACAATGTAGCTTTAGATACACTTTTTGGATACAGATAGCAGAAAAGTACCCACAACCCTAAAGCCTATCCACCTTAGAGTTTCCTTTATAAAACAAGCAATTAATGAAAGCTGAAAGTAGAAATCCAGACACAATTTCTCATTTTAGAAAGAATGAGAAGGGTTAGAACCCTGTCATGCTTTTATTCTTGTTTTCTTTTTTGATGAGAGTTTTCTTCACTTCCTGTGTGGTCACCAGGACAGATATGCTTTGTGAATTTTCTCCTGATCTGTGCAATACCAACGTGAAACATTGACTCTATGCAGGAGCTTCCTGTAGTATAGACCGCTCACTTAACTCTCTCTCTCCTTGTGCAGGGTGACTGGTCTTGAATTTGCCCCTTCTGCTAGTTTCCTGTAGGCAATCTGTAGTGGGTGGGCTTGATGAGTCCCATCCATGGCTCTGCCCTTTACAAGACAGAAACTAGTTTTGCAAAGGCATTTGGTGCACACAAAGTGGATTTATATCCTTTATGACTATTAAGAAATGTGCATTTCATGTGCAGGACTCACACAGGAAAGTTCATGCTAAAATGTCCTTTGTGTACTGCATCCTTCGGATTAACAATGGAAATCAGAGAAAGATGACAACTACATAACAGGGCCGCCAACTGCAAATGACAACACTCGTAAGCCTTAGTGCCACAATGCCATCATGTGCTACTCAATTACACTGTAG